TGTATCCAAATAAAAAATGAGGGACCGGGGATGTAGCTCAGCAGCATAAGCGCTTGCCTGGCAAGCCTGAGGTCATGAGTTCGATTCCCGGTACCAAAAAAATAAAAATTAAAAAAAAAAAAAAATGGAAAAGGGCTCAGGATGTAGCTCGTACAAAGGTTTATCCCCAGTACTGGGCGTGGGGTGGGGTGGAAAAATACTGTGGTTTGTTTCTCAGGTGGTGAGAAAAACCCTACTTGGTAAATCTGTGAAAAGAGAGTAAATTCAGTTATGTAGTTCTAATTAATTCCTTGATACTCTTGGCAGTAGTTGACTTTGGGTGTTTAGGAATACAAGGTAGCCTCTACTGAGGAGAAACTACCACCGTTGTTGTTGGGCTGTTGACTCGCTTCTGACACTGGAAAAATCTCTTAACTGTGTCTGTACCTTTGTGACATTTTTTTCTCATGTTTAAAGTTCTGGGTGGGAATATGAGCTACCTTTTGGGGTGGGGAGGGGGAGAAAGAGAGAGGCTGTTGTCTGATTTTTATTTCACAGAGATTCCTTCAGAATAAGAAGGTACCCCTAAAAACAAAAACATTCAGCAGAATTACTTAACCTGGACCTGGAGCAATTAGGGAGGAATGCCATGAGGGGATGATATCCAGAGAATGAGAGGGAGCCAGCTGAGCAAACAGATGAAGAGAGAATGGGAAGTAGAGTTTCAGATAGAAAATTTACAAGCATCAGGAAGTAACAGTGGACTACTTCAGGAGGTTAAAGGAGTTTAGATAATGGAATATGTAGAGATGTGATAGATAAGATTGGAGAGGCCTCTTTGAAGAATGTAGCTTGTTGGCTTTTGCAGGTTTTTTTGTCATTTTAATCACTTTGGTTGCAACTCTGCAGACCTATTGGAGGAGAGTAAGCATAGAGTAAAGAGACATTGGGGGCCGTGGTATTTATTTTAGATGAGACATGGATAGTTCTAAATGAACAAGAATAGTGGAATGAGAGCTAGGAGAAGGGGTGGATTATATATGTTCAGTTAGTAGAACAGATTTGGTGACAGAATAGGTGAGAAGTGAGATGTGGGAGTCAGGACACCAGGGATATGTTCTATGCAACTGGGTGATCCTGTTGTCCAGATGTGGGATGGGGGGCTGGGGATTTAGCTCAGCGGCAAAAGCGCCTGCCTGGCAGGCGCAAGGTCGTGAGTTCGGTTCCCGGTACCGGAGAAAAAAAAACCAAAAAAAAAACAGATGTGGGATGGGCAGCAGGAGAAGGTGAGCAAGTGCTTGGGAAAGATAATTGTATTAGTATTTTTTCCTATTGCTGAAACATAATTCCTGACTCCCACATTCTTAAATGAGGAAAGGTTTAATTTAACTCTTGGTTTTAGGAGGTTGAGTAGATAGTGGTCAGGCTCTTAGGGTAGGTCCTTATGGTGGAAGGGCATGTTGTAGCAAGACCGCTTAGTTCATAGTGCCCAGAAAGCAAAGCAAAGGAACAGAACCAGAGAGGAATTGATGAGGGTCCATATATCTCCCAAGAGCATGTCTCCATAACTCCTGTGGCATACTTTCAGGAGTGCTTCACTAATCTGTTAGGCATTTCTTTTTTTTTTTTGGTTTTGTTTTGTTTTTGTTTTTCTTCCGGTACCAGGAACCGAACTCACAACCTTGTGCTTGCCAGGCAGGTGCTATGCCACTGAGCTAAATCCCCAGCCCCTGCTAGGCATTTCTTAATTCAATAAAGCTGACATATATATTAATGGTGACAATCCATCCCTTGTTAGTTTTATACCCAAACACATTTCCTTACACCATACTTAATCTCCAAATAAAGACACAAGGTAGTCATAATTCTGTGTAATGCAATACCACTATACCATGTACACCCAGAAAGGCAGTAATTCCCCAAAGTCTCAATAGATCTGTAATTTTTCAGAAGTTCTTTTCCTCTGAGACTCAAGGCAACCTCTGAGTTTTGAATCACTGTTGAAATAAAAAAGAAGTTACGTAATCCCAAGGTACAGTATCATAGGTTAAACTACAATTCCAAAAGGGAGGAATATGGGATAGAAAAGAATGGGACTTAAGCAATACTAAAACATGGAAGCAGAGCAGGGTAACTATGCCAAAGAGGAATATGTGAGGACCATTGTATAAAACCCAAGGACATGCTTCTGTGACCCAGCCACACACACCTAGGATCATGCTCTAGTAATCTGTTAGACATTTCTTAATCCAATGAAGTTGACCTGTCAGGACTAGTGAGCACAGTGATTTCAATGTGGGCTCATTTCAGTGGAGATAGAAAGTAGACAGTTGTATAGATGAATCTGAATTCCAGAGGACCATTGGTAACTCACCAGAGCCTCATTTCCATTGTGTGTGTGTGTGTGTGTACATGAATGCAAATGTGTATATATCATCCTTCAGATTATAGCAAGTGTATTATAGTTTACATCTTATAGATCCATAACATATTGTCTCGTGCATGGAGGATAGTCGATAAATACTTATAGAACTTGACTTACAAGATTCTGGTTTGGGAAGTGGGAAGAGTATAGAGAGGAAGGAAAGTAAAGTTGTGTGTGTATAAGATTGTGTCTTTGTATAACATACGCAGACATATACATAGCTTACATACATACATACATGTATACATGTATATTTTGGATTTCTTGCTGCACTGGTGAGGGGTCCAGATCTCTTGTATATATTTTTTGAAAGAGAGTTGTATTCTTACTGGTATTCTCCTATGGTTGTAATATCACCTTCTGGTAATTATATAGGTAGATCATGATTATAAGAACTATTTGATTATCTAGCAATTCCAACCACCTGGACTATAACCCAGAAATAATCCTGCAAGAGGCAATGTTGATGGCAAAGTTGATGGGAGTGTTGAAGCATAAAAGAATTAGTTGATAAAACAAATTAAATAAACACGAATAAATACACTTTAGAACTTCCACAGTTTAGTTCTGGAAGGAGAACCTTTTGGGAGAGAAGATAGAGATACGTAAAGTATTTTCTGTTGTTATTTTCACTAGGTTTTATTTTTCATTTTGATCATTATTGCTTTCATTCAGTGGTTAGTTTCCAGATATAATGTATATGCCATAGTTTCTTTATCTTTATTGTACCCTATTGCTGGATAATAGGTTGTTTCCAGTTTTTCTCTGTTCTAGAGTTCTAAGGTGAACATACTTTTAACACATACTGCATTTTGTCTAGTTCTTCCTTTACAATAGAGTCTTTGTACAGAGCAATTGATAACTCAAAGAAGATGGATATCTTGAGATTTTTCATTCGTATATGTGTGTATGTGTGTATGTATATATCTCAGGATTGCCCTTTGGCTACTTACCCAGCCATAATTACCCAATCAACACTGTTTGAAAATGTTTCTTATTTTTTATTTTTTTTTGTCTTTTTGAGACAGGGTCTCACTATGCAGTTCAGGCTGGTC